ACACACACACACACACACACACACACATATATATATATATATATATATATATATATATATATATATATATATATATATATATATATACATGTATATATATATATATATATAGTACGCACCAAACGGGAGAAGATGGTTAATTTCAGTGGGTATTTTCGTTCATAACTCGACCACGTGCGAGTGCCTGAAGATGGTGTTTATCGGCATAGTCTCTAAGTTGCTTCTCCTCGAAGACGGCTTGTAATAGCAACACACACAAGTAAGCAATACACAATAGTAAGCAACACACAATAGTAAGGTAGGACGACTCGTACCATCACCTCATGCCGCCACCTAGAGCCGTAGCCACTGAACCCAGAGACAAATATTTGTACCACTCATTCGCGTCCGAAAGCTCAAATATGTACGATCTAGATATCGAGTCGAGGATGAATGTGTTTTTACATGGAAATTACTTTCGTCTCACTCCTGTGAGTGTATAATAACTCATACATGAATCACACAGCAATATACGTATATGCACAGATGTATACCCACGCATATGAAGTATGTACCTATTTGTACAAATTGGCAATTCAGGGACACATACATACATACTTACCAGTGTATTCCGATTTTTCGATTGGCTTCTGTTTCAGTAGCTTTTCTAAACACAGTGTCTGATAAGTAAGTATCGCTGTATGTGTTTACTAGACTAAATATAAACCAAAAGAATATCAAAATCAACCTTAACACAAACCTTTGCAGTCAGCATTGAGTTCGCTGTCCGTGGTGAGTAGCTCCGATACCAGGAATGTATGGCCCTCTCTAGCGGCCGTCAGTAGCTTTCGTTCTGCTTCCTCCTCGTCCAGATCCGAGTCAGAATCCGCCGATGCGAATAAGTCACCCTCTTCATCTGTTTGAACGGACGTTACCATATATATATATGTGGTTGTTAGTGCACTCGTTGCGTTCGATACACCGCCTGTACGGTGTAACGAGAGTATAGCTATCTATATACTGCATGGACATAACAGTAAGGTGGCTGGTAAAGGGCCAATGTAATTTTGATCACATGCGCATGCTCCAGGTACTGAAATCCTGGTTGTAGGCTCTTATAGGTACAGATAGTACATCGCCTGTATATAAGAGAGACTAGACTGGCGGTTTCAAAGAGCGCCTGCAATAAACACGAGTAAAGATCAAAGAAAAAATGTGTGACGCAAGAAACAGGTATGTGTAACGCAAGAAATAGGTATGCAATATCGATCACAGTCAACCTACAAATAATTACCCACATCATAAATACACAAACACACACACACACACACACACACACACACACACACACACACAC